CCTCAGTAGCTCATAGATTATTCCACACTCGAATCCTACCCCTCCTAGTCAACCGCTCGCTCCCGAAGGAATTTACCAACGACGCTCAAGAGGCATGTCAACGCCTTGGCGGAGAGAAGGGGAAACTTTTGTTATTGGAGACATCGACATCTCGTGAGGAACCGGAGCGGTTGGTTCAACCCGCATTATAAAACGTTCTTCACCCCCACCACCGTAATACCTTATCATCACTAAAAGTTACCAGGATGGGTGAGTTTTCAGGTTTTATCTTCCTTCCCCAGGATTCGCGTAACTCATTTGTCTCCCCCTTTGATAGTTATTTACCTTGTCGCACATAATCTATATCATCAGCTATTCGAAATTATTCATCTCATCTCCGTCGTTTTTCTAAGCCCGAACGGGAGGGGTAGCCCTCCCATCTATCTACGGTCTTCTCTTCTCAGCTTTCGCCCACCCCCTCCCAGAGGTATATTTCTTCTCACCGTGGCCGCACTCACCCCACCCTCCCCGCAGCCACCAAGCATGTGAAAAAAGCGCCACCGCCATCGCCCCCACCGTTTTCTACTTATCATCCGTCCCATCGCTAAGTATGGCTATGGCCAACTTCCTGGGTTTCCAGTCATCATTTTGATGTTCGAGGAAGGAAGGGAGTTTCTTTTCTTGTTTCTTCTTTTCTCTTTTCTCTTTTCGTACCCTCGACCATATCCTTCTTGTTTTCTTTCATTTCCTTTCCTTATCTTCTTTTCTTGGCCTACTTATCTGCGATTCGTGCACCCTGGAATTTTTTCGGTTTTTGATCTTTTTCTTTTTCAAAAGGGGGCTCTCTCCGCTCGAGGCGGAGAACTTCTTGGCGTGAGCATGAGCATGGGCGTATACTTAAAGGCGTCGAATTCGGATCTATAGGTGGTAAATCGAAATAGTACAATGGCGAACGGGCTGTAGTTCGAATCCTACCATCGGCTCCTGACATGATGCGTTTTTTTTTTTTTCTGGTTCTCAAGTTCTCATTAGCTAGATAGCACGATTTATAACCACATCCCCCAAGTCTTCCCTTCTACTTACAAAATCAAGGATGCAGTATGTACTATGTAGTAGCCCATGTAGCTCAACGACAGAGCATCGCAGTTCTATTGCAGGGTGATCCTTGGATATATACAATGGCGAACGGATGTAGGTTCGAATCCTACCATCGGCCTCTACGGCTCAGGAGACTCACCCTCTTTTCTTTAATGAATTGCAGGGATGGAAAGAATTCATGCACATGGTCCGCACACAGTGCGATTAAAAATGTGGCTGATGTAGCTTAATGATAGAGCATCGTTCTCCATAATCATTGCGATTACACAAAGCGAAGGATGTAGGTTCGATTCCTACCATCGGGCCCATTGCCAAATCTTGATATTCAAGTTTTCCTTCAAGTTCCACTGGCAATCAAGTTCATCCCTCGACGGCATTCTTGAATTCCTAGAATCTGGATCACATTCACCGTAAGTGGACCTCACCAAATATCATACTTAGTAGAAGTATTGCCAATTGAGTATTGCCAGGAACTAATTATAATCATCGGCCAATGTAGCTCAATGAAAGAGCATCGCCCCTCGTATTTTCCTCGCACTCTGCTAAAGGCGAAGATGTAGGTTCGAATCCTACCATTGGTACCGTAACGGCGCTTTGGACTCATTGAAAGACATGTTCCTTTTCAACTCCGATTCAATTCTTTTCCCTCTTGCTCAGAACCGTGTTCCTTCGTTCGTTCATCCAACACGCATTCAACATACAGACGGTGAGGGTATATGTCACGACCTGTAGAAGTATTCATTGAAGAAACTAATCGGGACTATAGTAATAAACGGCCAATGTAGCTCGATGAAAGAGCATCGCCTCTTCAGACCGCGTCAAATAGGTTGTATACGGGCAAAGATGTAGGTAGGTTCGACTCCTACCATTGGTAGTACGTGTCTCAAGCCGTGGCATTTTTTTTCTTTTTTTAGCTCTAGCGCTCTAGTGCTCAGGGCTGTGTGCCTTTGTTCGTTCGTATTCAGACGAGTCTTCGAGAGAATCAATGACTGGATGGACCTTGTGCGCCACACTGTTTCATCTACGTATCAGAGGTAAATTTAAAATCGTCACCATTATATCGGAACCTCAATTCCTTTCAGAACGAACAGAACGTAGCTCATGAGTACATGCACTGTATATATGCTTCAAGAATCAAGGGTGCAATAGCTTGTGCCCGACGATTACTCACAGCGAAGTAATGTCCTAGGTTCGAATCCTGGCATTGACTTTAATATTCCTGGCGTATGGTTTTTCTCTGGAGCCTTCAGTGTCACACTCTCGGAGTCTGATTCAAGGTTCGACGCGTACGGGATATGATATAGAAGACTCTGCTGGAGAAAGCACAATTGAATAAGATATGACCAGTGCAATGACCACGGAGGAATTTCTCGAGTTCTCATCAGCTAGATATATCACTTAACCACATCCCCAAGTCTTCCCTTCTACTTAAAAAATCAAAGATGCAGTATGTATAGCCGATGTAGCTCAACGACAGAGCATCACTGTTCTAGTGCATGAAGCTTCAGGCAATCCATATACTAACTTACAATGGCGAACGGATGTAGGTTCGATTCCTACCATCGGCGGTTCTTGACATGGCTCGGGGAAGGTTCTTTTCTTTTCTTTTCTTTAATTATTTACTTACTTGTTTTATTCCCCCGGAGTCCCTTCACGGAAGGAGGAAGGAAGGAAGGAAGACTTTGCGTTGAGTTTATATTTGGGTTTCCCTCAATGACTTGCGGCAACGGCAATTGCTCTGGCTCTGGCTCAGAGCTTGAAACGCTGAAACGCTTGAAGCTCCCATGTCCAACATCAGCCTGAGCCATATACCACCAATTACCAATTTAAAGAACGATAAGTAGTGCATCTCGCTCAAAGAGTCAAATGTCCGATGGACAGAGATCAATCCAACGCCAAATTTAAACATCGCAGGTTCGAATCCTCCATTGGCCATGATTGAGGCGATTGAGTCAATTGCATGATCTGCAAGCATTTTTTTTTTCTCTTTTCTTTTTTTCTTTTTCGTGGACGAGGGTAGGCCCGGTAGGCACATATATGTAGGCCCATTTCATATCTTGTTAGACATAAGTATATCCTGTTTGACATTATCGATAAATTAACTTAGTGTTGATAACTACCTATGCACGAACATTCCATTCCAATATCATATCACGTCCCCTCCCCTCCCCTCCCATCCTCACCCCTCCCCTCCTCCACCCTACCCCATCCTAACAGTCCTCGCACTCCCCCCATCCCCATCCCCATCCCCATCCCTCTCCCCCCTGCCACCCACCGCACTCTCCTCCGTCCCCCAACTCCTAACACTCGCATTCCTAACAACAAGCGGCGCCAAACCCCAATAACTCCCTTTGCCTTTGCCACCCATACTCGTCCCCGCCGCGTAAGAATCGTACGATCGGATGGAGGTCACGCTGGGGGATGGTGGTGGTTGGGGTTGTGCTTGTGCTTGGGAATGGTGGGAATGGGAATGGGAATGGGAAGGATGGGCATGGGCATGTGCATGGGCGTATAAAGGCGTCGAATCCAGATCTATAGGCGGTAAATCGAAATAAACGCTTTCATCCATGCCTTCTCCATCCCCATCCCCATCCCCATCCCCATCCATCCCCATCCCCATATCCGTCTCCACATTCACATCCCCACCTATCCCCACATCATCATTCTCGTTCCCAGATACACCAGTGGCAGTGGTGGCAGTGGTGACGACAGAAGTAGGCCTCGACTTCGTCTTCGATTTTGGTACAGGCGACCTCGAACGTGCACGGAATGGGTCGGTGTATAGAGATGAAGTAGATGGTGGGGAACGAAGCTGGAGTCTTAGTGGTTGTTGGGGTTGGAGTTGCGGTTGGAGTTGGAGTTGCAGGTTTTGGCTTTGGCTTAGATTGGAAGGGGGAGATTTTGGTCGTTTAGATGATTTCGGTGGCGGTGGTGGAGGAGGAGTTGTTTTTGGAGATTTGCTGAACCGCGGAGGAGACGAGGTAATCGTCGGTTGTGAAGGTAGAGGTGGAACTGGTACTGATATCGTCGGTAACGGCATCGATACACCCGTACTCGCACCCGCATTCGCACTCGTACTCCCAGTGGGACCACCACTCCCCATAACACTATCCACCAACCCCCCAAGTCCAAGTCCCAGATCCGCCCCCAATCCAAATCCATACGTATCAGGGATGGTCAAAGGTGGCACACCGAGAGGTGTCGTAGCTCTTGAAGGTGCGGGTGAAGATTTTGATTTGAGTGACGGGGAGGGGGAAGAGTGAGGGGAAGGGGGAGGCAAAGAGTGAGGGTGGGATGGTAGAAGTGAAGTGGTGGATGTAGACGCGACGTGAGCGTGAGAGTGAATAGTACGAGTCTGCGGAGGGGATGATGATGACGGTGGTGGTGGTTGTAGTACGAATGTCGGCTGTAGAGTCTCCTGTTCCTGGGTCTGGGTCTTCGTCGGTGGTGGTGGCACAGGCGGAGGGGCAGGGGCACTAACACCCAACGCATCCCTATACGCTCTCATAGCAAGAACCCCCTCCTCCCCTTCCTCCTCTTCAAAAAAATCTTCCCCATCCAACAACCCTCTATCCTCCCTCCTCCTCGGTCCTTTCCCTCTCATAGTAGCACCTCTAATCAATCCACCCAATTTACTCCCCCGATGACCATGAGGATGATTTCCTTGTCCTCCTCCTCCTCCTCCTCGTCTGCGTCGTCGTCGTCTGTAATAAACAAACGCCGAAACGAGTATGAGGAGAAGGAAGATGAATAGAGCGAAGAAGGATATGAGGATTGTTGTTGTGCGTTTTGTGGAGGAGTGGGAAGGGGTTGGAGAGGGTGAGAGGGAGGTTGGGATTGGGGTTGTTACCTGGGAAGGAAAGGGTTTGAGATTTTAGTTGAGGTTTGGGAGGGAGGGAGGAGAGGGGAAAGGGAGCACTTACGGTGGTTAATTGACCATCGAGGAGAGTGGTATAGGTAGTGAAACTGGTTGAAGAAGTGAGCGTAGGGGTGGTGGGTATACTCGTCGTTGGTGGTGGGAGGGTAAGTGTACCGCTACCTGGTGCAGAGGCTTGAGCGCCAGGTGATGGAGAGACAGTCTGCGACGAAGACTTGGTATGGGAATCGCTAGACGTAGATTTGGATGAGGTATCGGTGGATGTGGATGTGGAGGTGTCGGTGTTGGTATCTGTCGAAGTTTGTGCGTCTTGTGAAGTTGATCTGATTGGTTGACCTGTGAGAGCGAAACGAACGAGTGATGAACGGGACTTACGACTGAGTGTCCGTCGACTCCGTCGTCGTCGACGTTGTGGGCGATGTGGTTGAAGAGGACGTCGTCGTGGTTGTAGAGGAGTTGGTAGGAGAAGCTGTGGTATCTGAATTATGTGAAGTTGGGGTATCGGTACCCTACAAAATACCATTAAGCGTTGGTTTTCTGAGAATAAAATCGATAGAACTGACAGTCGCTGAACCCGCCGAAGAAGAGGGCGTTTGTCGTGGAAGATGTGACATCGTGTGCCAGGTAACACTGCAAGAGCCTAGCACGGAGTCACCCAAAGACCACCAAGTCAAGTACGCGTTACGCCGCCGCGACGCTTTAGAGGCAACACCAAGAGAAGAATTGAAAAAAAAAAAAATCAAGTTGGACGGAGACAAAGATTGGACGACATGAATGGAATGATGATGAGAGAGGGGGTTTTGATGTTTTGCCTTATTTGCCTTCTCTTGATCAACGACCATCATCATCATCACCATCTACATACAGAACACAGGATTGTAGCTCAATTGAAATCTGCAACAACCTCAGGCTCTTCCTTGAAAAGTTCTCTTGGGTTCGACTCCCATTCAAAACTGCTCATGGTTTATAATAGGTGCTAATGTTTTTGCTGACCTTGCTGAGTTTACTCTTTGCCAGTGCGTTCTGACTAAATCTTTGCCTCTAATTGATCACTAAGTACTACTACATTCACTGATTTCTACCAACTTACAACGACCGCGTCGGACGCCCCAATTAAGCACCTCCTTAGCTCAATGAACTGCCCCGCTCAAAGCAACATCGGCACCTCTCACTTGAAAAGTTCTCCTGGGTTCGACTCCCGTACGAAACCGTCGCCATATGAGGTTACATCCAATTATATTTTATGTGGGTATGACACTCACATGGTTCTCCTATGAAAAATCCTCAACTTCAGGTATTCAAATCGCATTGATAACTAACTCCTCGATCGTAGGACTCTGTCTATAATCAGGTGAACCTTCACGGTAACTTAAGTAGCTGTTGCTGTTATTCCAACTACGTGATGATTCCAGCAATCGTTTTAATTTCTGCTCGAAAGCCTCCCGGGCCCTTCTTGTGGGTTCGATACCCAACCCAGAAGCGGACAAGGAGAGGAGATTGATTCGCTCCACTTGTACTTATTTTAATCGCACGCAGGGAAGAAAAGGTCTGTGGACACAATCAAGAAAGTCGAGTGTCCCGGCTTAACTTTATAAGCTTATGGTCCACTTTACCCGTCTGTGGGTACCCATACATTAATGATAATCAATACCAATACTCACCTCTTGAAACACCGGATTTAAAGAACCTCCCTTAGTTCAATGA